CGACTGAACCGAAGGGCTCCGGCGGTCGAAGGATCTGCCGAAGCTACGGCGGTATCCTTCGGCTCAATAGTGAATAACCCATTATAATGTTTTGAGGTTTGGACAAAAATGTATCCATGGCACACAATGTAGTTCCATGCAGTAGTTGGTCCACCAATACAGCTAAGGTCTTGCTTTAGCTGCAGGTTGCCCATATGAAATCATCTGTTTTAATGTGGCACTGTAAGACAAGTCACAATCTAAAACAAAGCAAATAAACATAACCTTATATTATCACTTTATTAGGTTTTTTATGTTTTGAGTGTAGCTTGCCATTGATTGAAAATCTGTTTGTATAGATGATTTAAGTGTATGGAAAAATTAGATCTAAGGTTGGAAACAAAATGAAAATTCAGACAGGACATAGAATACGTAGAACATAGATATGTTGCTTGTTCGGTGTCAGACACAAAGATCATATGATAAAGTCTACAGAGAGAACAAGCTGGCAGAGCATCTTAATGTCCAAACTTGTAAAATTTTATTATTCTAGGAGAAGCTGCTCAAAGCACCACGTGGAACCAATTATAACGCATTTTACCCTCTACTGGAGCCCAAATGTCAGAGGAGGCTTCAGCTGGGGCTTTGGGTGCTGTACATAGCTTCCTTCCATCACAACACCCAGTTTCAGTACATTGCAGTATTTTTGCAGATCGCACTGGACTGGAACGTAGGCACTAATGTGCCTGCGTTTCGGGTGCAGGCGATCGCACTGCGGGCGGGGGGCGTGGCTGTGGTGCCATTGACTTCAATGCACTGCCGCGCCCACCTCCCGCGTCTGATGGCTTGCATTCCAGTGCGTTCCAGAGGCCGAACGTATTGGAACACGGACTTTGTGGTGTGAACCGGCCCTAAGTAATTTCAATATAGGAGAGGAGCCTGTACAACACTAAAGGTAATGCTAGAGTTCAGCTTTAACAATAGCGACAAACATGGCAGCTGCCTCGGGCCCACCACTTCAAAGTGGGTCCTCCAGCCCCTGCTTTGCAGGGCCCCTCACAACCAAAGAGTTGCCTTGCCCATGGCTATGCAGAAGCACCTGTACATCCACCATGCTCTTTCAGACCTCAGATCAGAGTGGCAAAACCAAGGGGACGCCTAGGCTCCTCCTCAGTCTTGTCAATTGTTTTTGCTGTCTTTGACATCATTAGGCAGATTCACTTTTTCTGTTGAGCCATTGTCACCAAGACAGAAAGTGATGTGAACTTCAAAATTTTAGAGTTGTCGCCAAAACAAGAGGTGAGGGGAAATCTTCCACTGGGAGCACCAATTCCAATGACAACTCTTCAAGAAGGGAATTCACCTCACTTTGTATAGATTTCCTCTTACTTTCTGTTACATCTCTGAGACTGGAAACAAGGTTAAATCTCCCCAACAATACACAGACAACAACAAATAAACTGACAAGTGTTCTAACCTTTCATACTCTACCCAACACAAAACAAAAAAGTTAGGGCTAGACATACATGTTACGTTGCCCACATAGTTGAAGTCCTTCTCTAATAACCAGCCTTGCTTCCTCATAGTTTCTGTGCCTCTGCCCACAACAGCAATCATTCTGAGAAACACAATACTGACCCTTTCCTGAAGTAGTAATCATTTCACAACCTACTCTGGCTTCCACTCACAACAGGAAAATATGTTTCACTGTTCACGGAAAAACAGCACCAAGCATAAAAATATGTTTAAATCAGCATTTTACTGGTAGTATCTAAAAAATCCAATTAAAAATGTTTAAAGTTGAACTCCTGATGTAAATATTTATGTACACTTACATTGGCCCAGCTTGGCACAATGTAAGTATACACTGTGGTAAGTATACATTGTGATATGACCAAGGGGACCCTGTAAAACACTACAATGTCTTACAGCGATCCTCCAGGTCCATTGTGCTGAACAACTTCGGTGAAAACACAGTGAACGCCTAGCATTTTTAGCAATGAGTACTACACATTATATCATTGGACAAGGAAGGGGTGATGTTATGATGTCACTGCCCCTCATCTTATCAGAAAATACCTAGTATTAATTAATAGAAATATTAGTGATTTGTTGAATGGCCATTGTGCCGAGTGAATGACCACCTGTGCTTTCAGAGCGGAGGGGAAGATGCTTTGCATACAGGACCCAAAAGATCACTCTAAAGGTGCCAATACGGGTGATCCCGCGATCGTAAGATAATCGGCAGGTGTATGGGCAGCGTGCGACCTCTTCTACTGTAAGGTCGCACGACATTCGTCTTCCGAGCATGCTTGAAAACCTGCCGAAAATCGTACGATTTTCGGCGGGTTAGTGGCGTGCTCGGGAGACAAATGGCGCACTGGCCGGTGTGCGCAAGCGCACACTGCCTGCTCAACACTGCAATCATCGGAAGCCCTCCCCTCAGCGGGAGGGGCTTGCTATGATCGCAAGTACGATCTGCCTGTCCAAGATGGGCAGATCGTACGAAATTTTAATTGCCTTACAACCATCGCACAACGAAAGTCGTGCGACGGTTGTAAGGTGTATGGCCAGCTTAAGACTAGCTACTACAGTGTTTTATAGGATCCCCGTGGCCCTACCAGGTATAAAATATGTATACATTGGACCAAGCTAGACCAGTGTAAGTATACATAAACATTTATACCTGGAGTTCAGCTTTAAGCATGCTGGACAGTTGATTATTATTATTATTCAAGATTTATATAGCGCCAACAGTTTGTGCAGTGCTTTACAATATAAGGAAGACACTACAATCACAATACAATTCAGGACAAGATGGTAAGGAGGGACCTGCCCGTGTCAGCTTACAATTGATTTGGTGTGTTGGAATTTTGATGTCATAATTCATTTTGGAAATATAAGTAGTTTGTAAAACTGCTAGACAATTACCTAAGCACAGATGTAATTGTCTTGTTCATTTTGTACACATAAAATATTTCATCATGAGATATGTATGAGATGGTTGTATGCAGGGCACTCAGTGTCTGTCTTATTGAGGCTCAGTTCTGCTCAAAAATTCAATGTTCTCTTGCAGGAACAGTAACATTTTGTGTAAGCCAATGGGATAGCACAGCATGAACACGTGAGTGATACACAAAGTGATTCTCAGCAAAAAACAAAATGTGTACAGAGGCTGTCAGTATAGTAAAACCTTTTAAGAACCTGAAGATGGGGGGGGGTCTTGGTTGGTGTATAAAAACATGGGGCTAGTGTCCTCCTTTTGACATCCATGTGAACATACTCTTGGCTACAAAAATGCTTACACAGAATGTGAATTAGAACAGGAAATGAAAGTGTTTTTCCACTTGAAAGACTCTACCAGCTAAAATGTTTATACACTGTTTGTCTGTGTCTCCTTCAAAGCCTGTTGCCCTTATGTTGTGTACTGGTGTTACAGGATAATACAGAAAAATAGGACATTGGGTGAACCACTAGTGCATTAACAGAAATAAATATTTTACATATATTACACTCACAAATATTATAAGTAGCCAGGTATGTCAGTATCTCACCAATGACCTGGCTACTTTTAACACTGTACTTGTGAGTGTTATACAGTATATGTAAAATATTTATTTTTGGTAATGCTCAGTCAATGCACTAGTGGTGACTCAGTGTCCTGTTTTTCTGTTTTACCCAGTTGAGGTCCCTCCACAGCATTTACTATGTAGCTGCCAAATTACTGCATTTAACCTATCTTCAGTCCTTGATGCCATTGGGGTATGACTTACTAGTGTGTGCACTAAAACTGTTGTGAACTGAAGGCCTCTGGAAGCAAAGGATGCAGAGTTGGCCAATGACTTTATGTAATCTACTGGTGTTACAGACACAGGATGTGAGGAGATCAAGTCAGGTTACAGACAGAAATTCTAACTCTTACCCCACTCTATTTAAACTAATAAATATTTTTGGCAAGAGGGCCTTAGAATCGCACACTGCTAAAGTTGGGAAACATTGTATAAAACAGCAATTCTAGAAGCCCAGTTGGCAAATGGGGCACACAAGGCTGATGTGCATGGCTTAGACTTAGGGGTCTATTTATAATTTTTTTTACATAACAGTCACACAGCTTTCACCCAGGATTCACACATTTTGCAAATGAAATCCAATTAGAAAATGTGTGCTTCTTGGGTAAAAGTTGTATTAGGCCCCATTCACACTGAGCGACATGGATATTGCGCGTTTTTAGTGCTGAGGGGCTTTGAGCTACATTGCGCGATAGTGAGCGACAGTGCACATTTTATCGCGCTACATAGCGCATTTTTGGGTTGATCTGCGTCGCTGCTACATTGGGCTGTAACCAATCAACAGCAATCTTGATATGACATCATTCTTTCCTTCCATTTTGCAGTGCAAAAGTGACCCTTTTGTAGTGCGATATATCGCGTGACAAAGTGGTGCAATATCGCCGGAAATGAGCGATTTCGCGCGACACCATAGAGTCTGTTGGAGCTGATGCGTGCGACATCCACGGAAAAAAGGGTCATGTACGAGCGACAAGCATGAGCGACGAGCTACGGGCGACATTGAGCTGTGAGATGTGAACAGCTCCATTGAAATCCATTGGACAAGCTACATAGAGCGATATCGCGCGGAATTTGCGCGATAAACCACTCGGTGTGAACGGGGCCTGAGAGTTGAGTAAAAACATTTATAAATAGACTCTTTGAAGTGTATGTTTATCTTGAATAATTTCTATTGAGTTCTGAAGATGAAAGGACTAGAACTCCTCCTACCACTTTGCCATTCAGGGAAAAGCGAGAGTGTCTGTGAAACTGATATTTGGCATCACAATTTTATCCGAAGTTTTCCTGCATAATATGTTGAGAAAAAGCCAATATCTATCATGAGTGATAAGTGACTCTCGAGAAATCCACTCTACCAGTGATCGGGTGGGTCAGATGCCGAAAAAAACTGTTACGACAATAATCACTGTATTCAAATTAGACAGCACAATCTACATAGAAGGTGGTACTTACAGCCAATGCTGGGGTCGTATAAAGAGCACCCCGCTGCCATCTTCTCTGGTTGGCAGCAACATCTCCACCGACCCTCCACCCAGAAGTTGGGGTGGTACTTGGGAATGAGGCACTCATTGTTCTTGGTCACTGTACATGGAGAGAATGTTTATGTCAACCACAAGTTCTCTTTCTATTTCCGCAGTACAAGTATTGAAATGAATTTGCAACATGCAAAACTGTCAGTGAAGTACAGAAGATTCCAACAAAAGTCAGTGCCTCTGGCATCTTTTAATTAGAGGATAGCTGTACTTTGTAAACCCTTTACACCTGCAGTGAGTCTTCCTCCCACTACTTGTTTTGTCTAGGAGGGGTGATGAATATAGTCATGTACTTACCTTTTTCCTTGCTGCCTTGGCAGCCAGTGCTCTTCTCCACTGTTCCAAGATCTGGAATGTGGGTGGGCATTCTGCTGCTGGTCCTGCATTGTAAAAGATGATGCCAGGGAGCTGCGACCGGTCAGGCAGCAAAGGACAGAGACTTAAGGGGACTGGTCACACAAAAAAGGAGGATTATATCACCTTATTGATCATCCTTTAAACAAAATGAGCCATTAACCATTGCAATGGAGAGGGGACCCACCGCTAGGGTAAGGCTGGGTTCATACCTTGTGGTGCATTAACACACACCACGTTGACATGTCTTACTTTTGCGTGTTCATGTGTGTTGTGTTTGGGTGACTTATTTATTTGAATAAGCTTCCTAATGCACTAAAATGCATAAAAAAGGGTGCATGTGCTTTTTTTTTGAAAGGCAGTACACTACAACGCACAGTAGTACGCTACTATACATTGTGGTGCACTAAAGTGCACATGCATTGGCAAGATGCTCTGTGGTGCCATTAGGTATGGATTGCACCATAGCAACCCAACACGCAATGTGTGCATTTTCCCATGTTAATGTGCACATTCCCGCTGCACCCAGTTTTCTCCCCACTGGAGTTTAGCATACTAGTACAAAATCTGTCTGAAAAGGTATTTTAAAAATAGTTGTCTTGAGAGAAATGTTGAGGCTGTCATTGTGTTCCGCAAGAGCCAAAACTAAGAATTGCGGGGCAAAAAATTGCATGGCTATTCTACAAATCGTGATTAATCGCTTCCTCCCATTGAAATCAATGTTATAAAAAATCATGAGGGTTGCTCTTGATGCGACTGATTTGGAGCATGTGCTACTGTCCTGCAAGTGCTTAATACCTAATCGCGCAACTCATGTGTTGCAATGAAAGAGAAATGATTGCTTGTGATGTTAGTCACGTGATCACACAACTAACAATTGTCCTTGTTCTCCCAGCCCTAAAGTAGAACTGAAGAAAATTGAACAAATGTTCTGAAAACAAATTTTTTTCAAACAAAATGTTACTGATGTATGACGAGCTACAGTCTTAGGTTAGATGTGGGGATGGTAGTCATGGTGTCTGGTTCTTCCCTCTTCTTCATCAAACCAGGGCAATAGCAGCCTGTGTAGCATCTGTGTAGTCAGTTAGTCGTGAGCTGGGGCTTGGTGCAAACCCAGAATTCACCCAGGCCCGCACAAAACTATGCAACTAATTGGGCCAGGAGGGGAGTGTGCCAGTTACAGTTTTGTGTGGGCTTGTGTGAACTCCAGCCTCTGTACATCTCTGGTCAGAGGCAGGCAGGCACCTCTTCTACTACTGAAGACCGATGATCTAACATTAAAGTTCAGGCTTGTCACCCAGGGCCGTCCCTATCCTATATTATGCTGCCTGAGGATGTAGAGAGCGTGGGGATGGTGCTGCTGCTGATAGTGCTTCACTTTTAGGGGGCTTTGCTGATAGTGGTCATCCGGGGAGCGAATGCAGTGGGACAGGTGACTGTGTTAAAGCCGTGCTGTTAGCAGCTCTCTACTCAAGTCCTGCCCAGCTCATTGACATGAATGGTTGCCTGGAGCTTGGCGGGACAACAGTCAGAGCATCCCGCTCAGCTCCTTGGCAAGCAATGACCACCCTTCTGCTGCCGCCCAATAAGATGCAGCCTGCCTCATTATAGGGATGGTCCGATTATCACCCCTTGTCATGGCATCATCATGCCGTTATTGGAGATTTCAGCACCCTGCTTATGAACTGTTCTTTCAGCTGATGGGAAGCATCCACCTCACCAGGATGTAAGCGTTTGAAGAAGGAAGACATGGGACCTGGCTTATCATATGACCACGGATTCCGGTAAGTGCTTGGGGCATCTAGTTTAGTTTAATTTTTTTTAAATCTAATTGGGGGATTATCTAGACAAGACATACACAGCAAAAAAAAAAGTTGTGTAAACCCTTTCCTACTCTATCCCAGTGTTTTGTTTTGTTTTAACCTTTTTTCAGTCATGGCACTGTTTAAATGTAATGTTCCAAATCTTGAGATTCCTCCTCCTCTCGGACATTGGAGTCCCCACTGCATATCAGAAGCCCCCTTCACATCAAAGTCCTCCTTCACATCAGTGTCCCCCCTTTAGTGAAAATATGAAGGCACCCCTGACAAAGCCAGAAGGCACCCTTGTGAGCAAGTCTGCCGTTTGAATCCTGTGTACGGGTGGGAGCCCGCCTCCCACCCGTACACAGGATCCGAAACCCGTACTGTCCGGGTGAAAACCGTACGTGTGGCAACCCTACCCACCTCATGTCCTAGCTGGAGGATGTCCCCTACCTTACTGCCCCTGACCTGAGAAGCACAGTAATGATGTCTTAGGTTAGTTTGATCAGGTGTAGGGTTAGCAGGGGTTGGCAATAGGTTAAGGTTTAGAGGGTAAGGTTGGTGGTTAGGCTGGGGTTCAGGGTTACAGCTTAGGGTAAATTTCTGCCACACCAGAACATCATAAGCAAAATTAAGTATTTGTGCTAAATGTGTACTGGCGATTATTGTTAACTTATGTACTATTTGTTCTTGTGATTATTGTAGGATTTTTAACACTATCAGTCAGATCTGTTTCTTACCTTCTTTCAAAGCTAGCACCCACTGCTGCCGACTTTCTTTGTCTGGAGCGAAGATATACAGAAAATAATTCTCATGAAGGACCTATAAAAATACATCAAACTTTACATAACATTCTGAATTAAAGGCTTTTTAAACTTTCAGTTTAAATTAGCTAAATGCATTCTATGCACATCAAAATTAAAGGTGTTTAAAGTCTTGCACTTCATTATCTTTAGGAAGCAGCCACAGTCTATGTAGAAAAACCTGTCCACTGCCAGCATGCTGCTGAGAATGACCCTTGCTCTCTGTGTGGAAGCAGCGGTCTCTCTGCAGACATACTGTATGCCATACCCCCTTGCTTCCACATTGCCACTGACCACCAATGCAGGAGGGTTAAATAATAAGTCTCACCTTGTATTATTTGTAACATCTCACTCACCTAACTTTTAGGATGTATGTTACTTTTTATCCCATGTTTCTGTAAGCAATAGAAACTGATTTACAGACTTTGGTAGTTCACTCATCTTAATTCCTGACCACAATCTGTAGAGGAGACGGGCATCTCTTATATCACTGTCCCTGCATTTTCCAGACAGAAGCGACACAAGAGGGAGGGGGTGCACTCTCAGATGAATCAGTACAGGCACTATAACTGGAAGGTGATCCTTGTTTGGGATATTACAGAGACAGTATGATAAGAGTTGTCAGTGAAGAGTCTGTCTCTTTGGCAGAGAGAGATTGGGAATGAGGAGGAGAACCATGAACTGTCAAAATCTGTATCTCTGCTTCTCTTGCACAGAGAAGCATGGGATAAAAAGCAACATACACCAGCCTTTCCCAACTTTTTTTTTTTAGTTGTGGCCCCCTGTAAAAATATGCAAAATCTTGAAGCACCCCAGACTAAAATATCATAGGTTTTAAAAGGGACCCCATGCAAAAACACACAAAAAAATGTGTTTCTCCCTTCACATCAAATATTCACTCTGTGTATCAGTAGCCCCCCTTCACATCAGAGCTCCCCATTTACATCAGGAGCCATCTTCACAACAGTTTTCATTTTCCCTTTCACATCAGAGTCCCGATACCACAACATTTTGAGACACCCCTGTGGAGACAAGGGGGGTCCCCTGGTTGAGAAAGGCTGACATACACTGTGGGAGTTAGGTGACTGAGCTGTGAAAGATGAGACTTCTTATTTAAAGTTCACTCACACTTATCATCAATTGAGGGGTTAATTTTCACTACCACTGACCACCAATGCAAAGGAGTTGACACCAATACTCTGGGATTTTATGGCGACCATTGACACTAATGATGGAAATTATTATCACCCCGATGACACCAATGGCCTTTTTTAAATCCAGGTCCACTTTAACTTGATTATCTTTATATCTGGATATATAACTACATAGACATGCTGTAATATCTATCTTGTACTACACTGTAGGAGATAAAACGTGAAACAAAACAATTACCTGAAAGGCGTACTTGTTCTTGCAGGCAATGCTGACGTCAGTGGTGACAATCTCAACACATTTAATCCGAGCCACTTCAACAAAACCTTTGAGGCTCCGTACTTTCTGGAGACAGAGGATAATGTTAACTATGTTACTGCAGTTTCTTATTATTATATTACATTATTAAACCATGGCCATAGTTAGCAAGGGTTGGCAATAGGTTAAGGTTTAGAGGGTAAGGTTAGTGGTTAAGATGATAGATTACTCTCGGTTTAATTACTGCCACAACAAAATATAGGCAAATTAAGAATCTGTGCCAAATATATACTGTCACTCATTGGTAACTTATGTACTATCTGTTCTTGTGACTATTGTAGAGTTTACAAATACTATCGGCCAGGTCTGTTTCTTACCTTCTTTAAAAGCTAGCATCCACTGTTGTCAACTTACTTTGTCTAGAGGGAAGATATAAAGAAAATAATTCTTATGGAATTATCTTAAAGTTGTTCTAAATGACGCAGGATGTTACATCTAACGTTCAAATAGTTCTAGGTCAGTGACTCCGACAGTTTCAAAGCCTTTGTATTATCGCCAGGAAACTAGCATTTTCAATAGAAAATGTCAGCAATGGCAGCTTACAGATTTAATGGAAACTTAGTATAACTCTCCATTCAAGCCTACGGAGACACAGTGTGCATCGCTGAGCAGATTTTCCAATGGGATGTTATACAATTTTGATGTGACAGTGGAGAGGAAAAGCTTAATCTAAATAGTCATCGGAAAGTTCCCACTAATGCAACATATTTTAGGAAGTGATTGCATCTTCTGTGTTTAGTGACTAATATCACCATGGAAGGTTTGAGTGGTCTGTATGAGAGAACTGATTAAGTGTGAGAAAATGCAAGAGCCAAGGTTGCTTGGCATCTCCAGTCACACGGATGTAAGACTGCAGGGTCAAACCATCATAGTTTCACCAACTCACATGATGAGCTAACAGAAGTACTTTTGACAGGCACAACCCAATATGATTGTTCAATATGACCCTTGATTAGACTGTGTTGTGGAAAGTGGAAGAGAGGATTTTTTTTCACTGTCCACCAATGACCTGGAGGTAAAATGTAACTTTGCCCTATACAAGAAAAGTATAGGTTCCCTTTAAAGTAAAACTCAAACCAACACTTTTGTTTCAAGTTTTGGATATGGTGGGGAAGGTTAAGGTGGGTAAGGTGGGGAACACCTCTGTCATATGTTTATTAATGTATGTGTGCCTGTTGGACAGATCTAACCTTATTACTTGTTCTGGGGGCCGCTGGATTGCTCTAACCTCAATATTTTTCCTGGAGACCACTGGACAAATCTAACCTATTTGTCCTGGGAACCACCAGACAGAGCTAACCTCACTATTTGTCCTGGGGAACACTGGAGAGTTATAAACCCCACCCCCTATTTGCCCTAGGGACCACTGGATATATCTAACCTACTATCACGATACCGTGCACGGGTGTCCCAACACCACGTGCAGGAACTTATACAGGTGAACTGAATATGTGACCACACTGCAAACACCACAACAATCTTTGTAAATAATAGTTTTAATAGATATAGTAAACCACATAAACACAGGCAATCCCACCACCAGCCGCAAGAAACAAATAAGAACCACACTATATACAAACGGCAAGGGCCGGGAGCCGCAGATCGGGAGAACTCAGGCAGAAACTCAAGGCAGAAACAGGATACTGGAGGGTCAGGAGTCAGGGTCCAAGGCAGAAACAGGATACTGGTGACAGGAAACTGGTAACAGGATACTGGTAACAGGATATGGCAACAATACTGTGGCACAGGCCTTGCAACAGGGAGAGGCTAAATACCCTCCCAGAGCAGCACCAGGTGGCGACTAATTGCTGGCAGACACCTGCAGGCGAGCACTGGAACTGCAGGATCAGGTTCTAGCTCCACAGTGCCACCCGGAGGTGCTTTGGTCCTTGACACCTACCTAATTGTGCTAAGGATCACTGGACAGTGAGGACCTAACCTCACTATTTGTCCTGAGAACCACAGGACAGATTTAACCTCGCTATGGGTAGGAAAGAGGGAAAAAGGAGGGGGTTTAATTTGAGAAATTAGGAGAGTGAAGGTGTGTGGCGGGGAGGCAGGATGTGAAATCAAAACAGGAATGGTATGATGTTATAACTAGAATGATCAGGATCAAGAGTGGGATCCTTGGCTGTCCACATTGTAGAGTGATACACACGCACACACACATACTAACACATTTACATAGGTTGAACTTGATGGACCTGTGTCTTTATTCAACCTCAACAATTATGTAACTATGAATTCAGATGTGGAAGTATAAGACAACCAGCAGTATTCGGTTCTCCAAAATTTCTTATCTGGCAGAGGAAATGATGGTCAGATCTTTCATAGTTTTAATGTAATTTTTCCGGGAAAACATTTTTCACTAAGAGTGGATTAAGTTGTTTCGCATAGGGCTGGAATACAGGCCCAGGTGGTGTTTACCATGTGAATTATAAGTGAATGCTTATAGGATTGTAAAAGGATGTAATTTAGTTTAAGGAGGAAGAAGGCCAGCTATTTTTGGATTCGTATGTCCATAAACTTCTCAATGGTGGTGTGCACCTGGTCCGAAAAATGTCTTAGTTTAGGACGTGTGCAGAAAACGTGTATCAAATCTCCCACGACATGTCCACAGTGTCACCACTGCTCTAAAGAGTTTGAGAAAATGGAGTGTAGTTGGGTCCTGTACTACTGGGTGAGGATTTAGTACCCATCTATTGCTTATGGTTAATTTGATGGATAAGGTGAAAAGTTTGGTTTTCTCCTGAGGGGTAAAGTAGGCTTGTAGAAGGCATTCCCATTTGGATAGAAAAGGCAAAAGGAAAGTACCTGTCCCCCTGAAGGAGAAGCTTATAGCTGAAAGAGAGTTTGGCCGCATCGGAGCATGTACAAATGGTATCAAGGGCCACTTGAAACTCTTAGAGAGTGAATTCAAAAAGTGTGCAAGCTGTCTCCACCAAGAAACCAAGAGTGTTAGGTCTGGGTCTTTATAAACGTCGATGTATGAGGGCCAGCATGAGCAGTAAATCAACTGCCCTGGAAGTGTTGAACAATCTTCAATTGACTGTTTCTCTGCAATATAACAGCAATCGGTATTGTGGGCAGCGGGAGTGGGCAGCGGGAGTGGAAAGTATTAATTATCTCCATTGCATGGGCACATTATTTAGCAGTTTTGTTTTTTTATGGAAAATGTTGCTTTAAATTTTTTTTACTCAAGGCACCCTCTCTCACTTTCACAACATAAACACATATGCTTGGCATACTCATGGACCAGTCAGTGCTCTTATGCCTGTGGTTTAGCCTAAAGTGGGCCAAAGCCATCCATTGATAGTTTTCTAATCCACTTATTTCTGCTAGTTCAGGAAATATAAGGAAGTCATCTTATGGGTATTGGTCAGCCCATGCCAGCCAATACTTGTCAGGGGGAGAAGTGGCTTAAACTTTGTACAATTACTAGAATGTTCCACTATAAGCCAGTACCAGAGGTGTCTGCAAAAGGCCTCCACCACTAATCACAATTTTCTAAACTCGAACAGTGTCATAATTTGGCCATTGGGGTTTTACGTTCCCAGCAGCCATAATAAATGTAGATAATAGTAGAAATACCCTAGGTGTACGCATTGTATAAAAACAATTGTGAAATGTTTACAGGAGACACACATTAAATATATACATATACCCAGTGTATATATATATAAAAATTATTTCTCCTTTTAGGGTATTGGTTGGAGACAAGCAGAGCATTCATTTATGCCCCTTTGGTCAACTGTACTTCCAAAACCAAATTTACAGATACAAACTAATATTATGGAGCCATTTATTCCAAACTGCATACAGCTGTTTCAGGCTTGTTAGCCATCATCAATGGCTTCTATGAAGTAGTGCATAACCCAAGAGGTTATTGTAAGGTGGGCCAAAATGAATCAAAACATCCTCCACTGAACCAGAACAAAGCACAGTAGAGCCTTTTTGAGAACAGAAAGTATTTACATGTCTTATTCCAGCACAAATCCCCCAAATTAGGGAATTAGATGTGATTAGATAGTGTGTGGAGCTACAAAGTATTAGGACACCCCTCCAAATCATTGGATTCAGGTGTTCCGTGACATTTCCTTGCTACTAAATATTCCACGGTCAACTGTTAGTGGTATTATAACAAAGTGGAAGCAACTGGAACAACAGCAACTCAGCCACGAAGTGGTAGGCCACGTAAAATGACAGAGCGGGGTCAGTGCATGCGGAAGCGCACAGTGCGCAGAAGTCGCCAACTGTCTGCAGAGTCAATAGCTACAAACCTCCAAACTTTGTGTGGTCTTCAGATTGGCACAGCAACAGTGCGTAGAGAGCTTCATGGAATGGGTTTCCATGGTCGTGCAGCTGCATCCAAGCCTTACATCACCAAGTGCAATGCAAAGCGTCAGATGTAGTTGTGTAAAGCACGCCGCCACTGGACTCTAGAGAAGTGCAGATGTGTTCACTGGAGTGACGAATTACGTTTCTCTGTCTGGCAATCCAATGGACGTGTCTGGGTAAGCGATTGCCAGGAGAACGGTACTTGCCTGACTGCATTGTGCCAAGTGTAACGTTTGGTGAAGGGGGGATTATGGGGTGGGGTTGTTTTTCAGGGGTCTGGCTTGGCCCCTTAGTTCCAGTGAAGGGAACTCTTAAGACATCAGCATACCAAGACATTTTGGACAATTTCATGCTCCCAACTTTGTGGGAACAGTTTGGGGATGGCCCCTTCTTGTTCCAACATGACTGCGCACCATTGCACAAAGCAAGGTCCATAAAGACATGGATGAGCGAGTTTGGGGTGGAGGAACTTGACGACCCTGCACAAAGTCCTGACTTCAACCCAAAAGAACACCTTTGGGATGAATTAGAGCAGAGACTGTGAGCCAGGCCTTCTCGTCCAACATCAGTACCTGACCTCACAAATGCGCATCTGGAAGAATGGTCAAACATTCCCATAGACACACTCCTAAACCTTGTGGACTGGGATGCCATTAAAGTTCATGTGCGTGTAAAGGCAGGCGTCCCAATACTTCTGGCAATATAGTGTATTTACATAATATCTGAAATGCCTCTTTGGCAAACTATACATCCAGTGATTTTTTGAAATAATGGATATATTTAAACACAGCCAACCACATAAAAAGTTATTCTGAGAATTATAAGAGGTATAGGAAAGGAGAACCCAAACATTGCCTCTGACAGCTTTGGGCAAAACAGACACATTCTTCCAGTATTTTTGTAGTATAGATATAGAGAGGAAACATGTGCTATAAACACATTTTTAATTTACATTATTATCAATAGATAAATACTTATGATGGATGCACATCTAAATTGGCAGCTATATCCCTATGGGCAACCAGTATGACTTATTTACTCACCCCATTTCGGTGTTCATAGTAGTTGAGTGAGCTTGGAGTAAGGATGAAGACCCGTGACTTGAAGTTGGCTGGAGAAGTTCTTCTTTTTTGCTGAGATCTCTTGATGAGCACCTGTCGCAATATGACTGAATGATTCATCTGATACATCAGTCTATGTTCCGCAGAGTCAACAGGGGGCCATGAGCTAATCGTATGTCCATTGGTATCCATTTAAAACAACAAAGTATTAAATCCCAGGACAGCCATGCAGGTGACTGCACAAACATTGGACATCCTGAGCTCTGTGAGAAATAGTTTTAGCGAAAGGGGGTCTGGAAGAAACATAGACAGTGGAGGAGGAGCTCATAAAATGTTATCGGCAGATCTATGAGCAGAGTCAAGGTGTTAAACATGAGTTCTGAGACCTCAAGCTATAACCACATCCTTCTTCTCACTGAGCTGCTGAAATGTAGGTTTGTCATGAGTAACAAATATGCTTCCTACTGAAAGGTAATGCATTCCTCCTACTTAATGTACTGTACAGGCAGTCCCCGAGTTACATATATCCGACTTACATATGACTCCTACTTACAAATGGAGGCTCGGAGGCTATTACTGTACAGCAGGGGTAGTTGTAATGCTACCGCACTCATGCCAAGTAGTGCCCACCTTTTTGGGTTTGGTTCGTAGTACTGTACGTACATTACCGGAAGTTGGCTCTTGTTAGACGTGCAGACATGAGTTGCCCAACTCTTCTTCCGGGTCACTGTGAGATTTCTACTGCTTGCTGTCTGTATCCTCATTAGAAAGATTTAATCTCACTTCCTGTCCTTGAGACAACAGGAATGAAAGGAAATCTTCCCCTAGGAAGGGATAGAAAAAGGTGTCTCCACTGAAGCTTTATCACCAATCCTTGTTTCCACGACAACCCAACATTTTCAAAATCCAATTGTCACAGGGACAGAAAGTGAGGTGAAAGCTTCTGAACAGGGGCACACACAGCAGAACAAACGTTACAGGGGGTTAACCCTTCCCTATGCTATCCAAAACAAGAAACAATTTACCTGTTCCAACTTACATACAAATTCAACTTAAGAACAAACCTACAGTCCCTATCTTGTTCGTAACCTGGGGACCTGCCTGCCTGGGTTAATTGATTAGATTCAGAAATAGATTTTGCTTCAGGCTAAATGGGCCTATGCCTGTAGACAGCAGCGTCAATGGTGATCTTGCCTTATGTCCATTGGTATCCATTTAAAACAACAAAGTATTAAATCCCAGGACAGCCATGCAGGTGACTGCACAAACATTGGACATCCTGAGCTCTGTGAGAAATAGTTTTAGCGAAAGGGGGTCTGGAAGAAACATAGACAGTGGAGGAGGAGCTCATAAAATGTTATCGGCAGATCTATGAGCAGAGTCAAGGTGTTAAACATGAGTTCTGAGACCTCAAGCTATAACCACATCCTTCTTCTCACTGAGCTGCTGAAATGTAGGTTTGTCATGAGTAACAAATATGCTTCCTACTGAAAGGTAATGCATTCCTCCTACTTAATGTACTGTACAGGCAGTCCCCGAGTTACATATATCCGACTTACATATGACTCCTACTTACAAATGGAGGCTCGGAGGCTATTACTGTACAGCAGGGGTAGTTGTAATGCTACCGCACTCATGCCAAGTAGTGCCCACCTTTTTGGGTTTGGTTCGTAGTACTGTACGTACATTACCGGAAGTTGGCTCTTGTTAGACGTGCAGACATGAGTTGCCCAACTCTTCTTCCGGGTCACTGTGAGATTTCTACTGCTTGCTGTCTGTATCCTCATTAGAAAGATTTAATCTCACTTCCTGTCCTTGAGACAACAGGAATGAAAGGAAATCTTCCCCTAGGAAGGGATAGAAAAAGGTGTCTCCACTGAAGCTTTATCACCAATCCTTGTTTCCACGACAACCCAACATTTTCAAAATCCAATTGTCACAGGGACAGAAAGTGAGGTGAAAGCTTCTGAACAGGGGCACACACAGCAGAACAAACGTTACAGGGGGTTAACCCTTCCCTATGCTATCCAAAACAAGAAACAATTTACCTGTTCCAACTTACATACAAATTCAACTTAAGAACAAACCTACAGTCCCTATCTTGTTCGTAACCTGGGGACCTGCCTGCCTGGGTTAATTGATTAGATTCAGAAATAGATTTTGCTTCAGGCTAAATGGGCCTATGCCTGTAGACAGCAGCGTCAATGGTGATCTTGCCTCTTTAATGCACCTTAATCTCAGGGCGCTAAAAATGCATTTATTAAAATCATTTGTGGCCATACTTAAAGTGTACCGCTTGCTGCTTTTTATTGGTCAGCGACAATACCCATCAAATTGATGATCAATAGGAAGGCACAAGCACCAGGAGTCCCAATTTTCTTTACAGAGCACTCTTCGATTGCAGGCTACTAGTGATCTCTGCAGAGAATCTGGAAGCACATGGGGGGACCTGGACATGCCAGGCACCTGTGCACCTGACATCCAAGCAGGAACAAGAGCTATCTTGCCATTGGTAAACCACCCCATTGGTTTGTTTTAAAGATGAACCACAGGCAGATGTAATGGAAAACAATCTCTTTCTGTATTTATTTGAAAAAGTTGCCTTTTTTCTCACATTGAAAAAGTACAAATACCTGAATTTGTTATATCAGCTTTCTGTAATTACTTGCACAACAGCATTCACAGTGGGAGAAGCAGCAATTGCTCTCTTTGCCAACCAGGGCTTTATTCATTTGCACAGTGGTATCTGCGAATATGCTTAAAGGAAGGGAAAGCAGAAGTATGACCTCAGCGGTGTGCTTCTGCTCCTTCACCGTCCCATTATAGGATAGTGGGGGGTCCTAGACCAGGATGTATAGTTTAACCACAACTTAGTATGTGAAGATTTTCAGGACTTGGCTGTATTGTGTGACAGGACTGAGTTTAGCACAGTTGCAATGTTTATATATCATTTATTGCTTTCACATGCTACCTGAAACTATCTTTTTAAAAATTAAAAAAAAGTGTACCCATTCCAGAAGAGTCAAAGTTGGGAGTGTTACAAACAATCTAACATATAACTGAGTTTGTACTATTGTACTGTATCCAGGTAATCCCAGCGATCCGGAGTTATAGCCTAATCATTAAGGTGGTTCAGGGCCATTGTACCCATTGACTTCACTGGTCTCCACAGCACTCAAGCTTTTCTCCACTCAACGCCATTGCCCCATGTGAGCTTCTCCACTATCTGCAAATGTTACTGTGCACACAGCATTTCTCCACTGACCGCAACTGCACCTACACACTGCTCCACTGACTGCCACTGTACCGTTGCACTTTTCCACTGGCTGCCATTGCACCTACACACTGCTCCACTGCCAATCACTGCATCTATGCATTTCTCTGCTGACCGCCACTGCACCCACGCACTGCTCCACTGGTCTTCATTGCACCTGTGCACTTCTCCATTCATCACCACCACAGAGACGTGTACTTGTTCACCAACTGCTACTGTAACAGCACATACAGAATATCATATATCAACTGGAACTTCACCCTTGCACTTTTCTACCAAACACCACTGCATCTCCTGTGGGCATCACTGCACCCGCACACTTCTCCACTGACTGCCACTGTACCTTTCCACTGGCTACCATTGCACACTGCTCCACTGCTTCATTGCACCTGTGCATTTTTCCATTGATCACCACTGCAGCGACGTGTACTTGTTCAAAAACTGCTACTGCAACAGCACATACAACATACTTTGTACAAAAACCACGACTACACCCTTGCACTTTACTACCAACCACCAATGCATCTCAACTAGGCATCACTGCACCTACACACTTCTTCACTTGCCACTACTGCATCCTTGCACTCCTTCATTGACCCACACTGCACCCTTGCACTCCTTCACTGACCCTCACTGCACCCTTGCACTCATCCACTGACCCTGACTGCACTGATGCACTCCTCCACTGACCCTAACTGCACCTCAATACAAACTAGTAGTCCATCACTGGAGCCATTTTTTTAAATGTATTTTATTGTTTATCCGATTAACCGATTAATCGAACTTAATAATCGGCTAACTAATCGATTTTGAAAATAATCGTTAGCTGCAGCTCTAACCGACACACTCCTTCACTGACCCTGAGTACACCAATGCACTCCTCTACTGACCCTGCCTGCACCTATGCACATCTCCTCTCAAATTCAATGCACCCACTCATGCCTCCACTGACTGTCTCCAATGTCAAAGCACAGAACATACCACTAAGCTCTGCACTATGTGCGCTTTCTTATACATTACATTCCCCAGACTGCTGAATTCTATACACTATATTCAGGATCGGGCCTGGCCCATTGGAGAACATGAGGTGGCCTAACAATAAAGCACAAACACCAGCTTGCCGGCTAAAAATGGGTGTAACATGAAACATGGTCAGAAAAGTAAACTTAGTCTTTAGTGAACTGTGTAGCCCACATTTCCTTATTGCCTCTTTCTTGAATTCTGACATTGAGTGGCCCCCAAAATAACAATATTTCCATGTAATTCACACCCACTATTCACAATGAAGCATTGCAGGCACCACTATAAGGTGGGCCCCCATTCTCATTTCCTCTGGTGAGCCCCTGGTATGTCGTTTGACCCCATATTGTACATTCATACACTGAGAAATGTTTCAAGAACTCTATATGCATCTGCTTGCGGTATACTGAGACGCCGCAGCTGAAGCGGATCCCGACAATTATGCCCAGCTGCATGAGTGACTGCTGGCTCTGCCTATCTAGAGGCAGAGCCAGCTGTACCCGCCCCCTCCCCCGTCCGTTCCGCCAGTCAGCGCTGGAGGATCGGAGCGGGGAGGGGGGAATCCAGCCCCTCCCCTGTCACGGCAGAGAGCCGTGACAGGATCGAGAGGTGAGCGAACGCCGGTATGTGTTCGCTCACCTCCCGATCTACTAAGCCGACCTGTGACAGTCTCATTGTCACAGGTCGGCTAGAACTATGAGGTGAGTGGAAATCATTCATCTCATAGTTCTACTTTTAGAGGTAAATCAGCTTAATCATTTCTCTATTGGGCACTTCAATCTTGTCTATCAAACAGCATAGAGTAGGTGAATTAAGGTTGCGGACA